ACATATTTTTTCTTTTATTTTTTCCAATTATATATAAGCAGGATGTTTTGGAAATTACTAGAGTTTTTAAAACACTTGAAAATGTGTTTAAAATTAATTTATGTTATGTTTTTAGATTTTACACTTTTGTACATCTTTGTAAGGATTTTAAAAACCCCTAGCAATTTTATGGTAACCTCGTATATTCTTTTTAAAAAAATAATTGAAAAGATAATTTTACTTTTAAAAGAAACTCAACTCACTTGAACCCTTAAGCATTTTGTCATTATTAGCCAGGGAAAAAAGAATAACTCGATATTCCTCTTGCTGCCAGTCAATCAAGTCAAGTCATAGGACTCCCTCCGTCGTGTGTGTTTTGTCTTTCCCATCGAATTCAGATTTCTTGCTAATATTCTGTGTGTCCATCAAATGTATAGAGAGAGAGAGTTTTGTTAGCCAAAGGCGCTTACTGGCTTATAAAATGGCAATCCAGAGAGCAAGCTTGTTAAAGGAAAATGCAGCTGCAGTAGGAAAATGGTGAAACCGAAAGGAGATTTTCAGTTTGTTGGCTGAGATTGTGTGGGACCCACCCCGAAGGGAGTCGAAATGGAAACTATCTGCTCTTCCTTTTTTTTTTTGCCAGCAATAGACACAGAACTAACAGTATAATATCATGTCACAATGTTGATGAATATAACCAGCACACATTTTTTTTTTCGCCACAAAACAGAACGCAGAAACCAGAAAGAGAGATGCAGGGAAAACTAATCGAATTTTCGTAGGTGCACCCATAACTCGACTATGTTAAAATCGTTACCGCAACGGAGGGAAGCAAGGAAGTAAGGTGGAAATGCAGCAGCATACCCAGACTATACTATATATCTGTATGTCTGTCTATATATCGGCATGGACCGATAAGCAATGAACAACGGGGAGGAGGGAGCTCTCAAGAATTAAGGCAACGACAGATGATGGTTTCAGAAATGTGGTGAAGCGAAAAGTAAATTGGGCCTAGCCAGAAGGTATCTTAATGAAAAAGTTAAGAAAATATAAATATGAATTGAAAATATGATTTCAATTCATTATAAATAATAATAATAAACCATAACTGCAATACTGATCATCATCGACAGTTTGTTATCATTAAAAACTATATTGAAACTTTCGCTTATTCCAGAGTCGCCCGCTCTGATTACCAGGCACTTGAATTTAATTGTGCTCGCAGAGTGGTGAAGTAGCTGCTGTTATGAAACGCACTGTTTACGTTACACCCGAAGAAGACCCATCATCATCATCATCGCCAGCCGTCACTCCATATTGTTGATATTACTACATACTATTATTATATATATATCTTTCACAGCCAATTCCCTTGGACAATCTTTATAAATTATTTTGCTTCGCTCTCGTCTACTCTTTATTTTTTATTTATTTATTTCTCGGTATTGTTTTTTTTTTTTTCTTTGCTTTTTGCGCCTTAACCTTCCCGTTTGCAACTTAAACGGCAACAACAACAAAAACAATGATGAGCGCAAAAGAGCTTAAAAAGTCATTTCATGTTCATTTCTTGGGTCCTTTCATAACTTGGCTGATTTTTTGGCTCGAAAAACGATTTCGTTGCACTGTTAAATAGATGTCACAAGTTAATGAATAGAGAAGGGGGGTCTCCTAAGGTGCAACAACAACGACAACAACATTAGGTTGAAGCCAATTATAAAACTGTCGAGTGGCGCTTCATCTTCATCTTTAGTTTTTGGGTTCCGTGTTTGCCGGTTGTAACCCGAGACGATGCCAGAAATATCCATGGGAAACACACAAATGCGCAAAAAAAAAAGTTAAGAAGACCAACTATGTGGACTGAGTTTACACACAGAAATAAAATATGATCCTTAGTTGAAAATATCTTTAAATGTATTTTCATATATTTTTAATTTAATGATTATTTTAATAAGAATATATAGAAAATAACTGTTGAAAGATAGATTTTGCAAAAAGAAAACATTTTAAAGGATATTCAAAAACTTTATATTTTTTGTACACCTTTTTAAATACAATTAAAATCAATTTTTTTTTTTCGCTGAATAAAACCAAAACTCTACTTTATTTAAAAATTAATATCTCCACAACAATATCTCTCTGTGTAAGAAGAAAGGCGATTGGGAAGGGCATGACAAGTGCGGAAAGACAAGACGAAAGTAAAACAGCTGGACAAACAATTTGCATTTTTTGTCAGATTTCTTCGTTCGTTCTTTTCCCTTCTTTTCGCTTTTTTTCTTTGCCATTCCGATTTTTTTCTTTTTTTTTTTCACTGCTTTCAGTTTGACTGGACAGTGGCACCTGCAAAAGCTGAAAAACAGTTGGCTAAAAAATAAATATAAAAAAACAAAGTTTTTATACCCTTTCAGTTCCCAAAAATATTTTAAATCCATTTTTAAGCTAGTAAAAATCATCTAAAAGGAATTATTTTTAAATATTTTAAAAATGATTATATTTTCCATGGAAAATTTAAATATTATGGTAATTTTAATGTTGTATTTTCTCTTCAAAAAGTCGAAAAGCCACCGATATGAAGCAGGAAAGATACTATGTTTGGGATTGCAACCAATTATTTTATAAACTCAAAAACTATTTTCTAATAAAGACATAAACTGGCATGTCTAGATCAACTCGTCTGGCCACGCTGAATAAATATATTTAATAAATAATAATAGAAATATCACCCAAGAAGGGTATAACAAATAAAGAGACAGACAGGGAATCGGAGCCACACGGAAGCCGATATATAAAGCTCAAAGCTCACAAACACAATTTGGCTAAATCAGCACTTTCCACGCCCTCAGCTGCAGCGCCGCCACTGACAAGGTCAGATTGCAGTGCGAAGATGTAAATATCGCAATAGTATTTATACAAATACACACAACAAGATCAGGGTTTTCCCTTACCCTTCACAGCCACAAACAAAAAAGCGATAAACTTGAGACAGTGCAAGCTATTTCCATTGAAAAACTTATAAAGATTGATAAGGAATTGTGGTAAAATACCTCAAAAATTATAATTTAAAAAGAACATTTCTGTAAAACTCTTATTTTACCCAAAGACTGCTTTAAAATTTCAACTTTATTTTGAAAACTATTGATTATTGAAACTTGATTATTGAAACTTGATATTTTTGGAACATTTTTAAAAGAAAACTCCCTAATCATCTAAAAATAGTTTTCAAGTGAGCAAAGACACATGTTTCAGTGTTTCCTAATCCACATTATAGGAAAACTCCTCTTCAAGTTGGACTTATGATTGGAACCGACTTTTCCTCCCCGTCATTGCAACGCCTCGCTTCATCTTCCCAGATGGAAGTGCACTCCATATATGTATGTATTTATATGTGGTCTTGCAACAGCTCCCTATCTGTAGAGTTCAATTTGCACAACAATTTCAGGCTCCACGAAACGCCCCCGCAAAACCAAAGGCCCCCAAATATACACACATACACCACACACTCACTGCAAACAGCAACACACAAACAACAGAGCCTGAACAAGCTGCCCGAGGGACTCATTGTGGTGACTTGTCGCCACCCAAAAGTCCCCGATATATATAGTATAGTATAGTATAGTGGTGGAGTATGGAATGGTATATATGGTTTTCTCCAAAAACCCCGACAAATGTGAGGTTTATATATAAGTGGGTAAGGCCCCGCGCGAAATTCAAATCGGAAATTTGTTGATTCTGTATTTAATATTTGGTTTGGCGGGCATTAAACAATGCACAACAATATAATGTTTTGGTTCGCCAAGCTTGCGGGCAAGGATTTATTGTGCAAACAATTTGGCGAATAAATGAACAAAATGCAAGTGTACGGTGTACGACATCCTCCGGGATAACGAAACAAGTAAATTTAAAATATATTTAATATTACAACAGAAGGACAAATGTGGAAGTTACTTAGTAAATGTCGGTAAAAAATAAAAAATAACAAATAATAACTAGCAGAGGTAAATTTTTTACTTGACATTCTTTCATGTCGTGAAAGATAATGTTCAATTTTATTCTTTTTTAATCTGGCAAATCTTGAAAAGATGCAAGGTGAGCATAACAAAGAAATGAGAGCATTTCACAAGATAAATTAAAATTTAAAATATTCAAAGGCATAATAAGTACGATCAAATTCTTAGCTTCCTTCCCTGGAAGGTTATTTAATCCTCTTCTCGTTTTCAATATTAAAACTTAAAGACAAGATAGGGTCTGTGTCTGAAACTGGATATTTCCTTTGAGAACGAACGCCTGTGATCTGCATATTTTTCTTGAATTATGAGGCAAGCTTCTCTGGCTTATTTCTTCTTGTTTTATCTCTTTTTTTTGCAATAAAGCTCCACTAAAGCTTGCTGTCAGGTGTAAACTGAGTTTACCGTTGGGTTTGACGATGATTCTGGTTCCATTTTCATATTTTCACACAGCACAAAAAAAATGGCAGAAAGAATATGAGAATTCTGAAAGATCGTGTGGAAAAGCATGAAATATTTTCACACTCCAGAAAAAAAAGAGGCCAAGATAAGCGAATTAATCTACAGTGCAAGTTGCCAAGAGTGAATATTTGTTTTTAAATTTTAATATTTTAAAAAGAAAAGAATTTTAACAAAATTTAATAATTTAATAATTTTTTTTATATAGATATAAACAAAAATAATAAGCACACGTGTAAATATTCTCTTTACCGATCACGCCCTGTATCTCTGTTTTTCTTTTATGACTTCAATTTATTTTCTGTTTGCTTGCCTCACTTTGATAAGGAAAAGGGAGGGAGAGAGAGAGAGAAATGGGAGCAGCAAAACAAAAACCGAAAAACTGCAGGCCCATGATCGTTCGAACTCGAATTCAAATTCGAATGGGCTACCTATAATAATGCCGAAATTCCCACGACTGTTTGTTTTGTACTTGTTTCGTTCTCCCTCTCTCTCTCGAAAGGGAACCGAAAAAAACGGGATGCAAGGGGCAGGAATAGAGGGAATGCAAGAAGAACTTACCCGCGTAACATGAGCAGCTGTTGAATTTTATTGAAAAAAGCAGCAGCAGCAGCGCTGCTGGCAGCGACGGCATTTCAAGCCAGAATCTCCCAGTCCGTGTTGTTGTTTTTGTAGTCGTTGCTGTTGTTTTTGGACGACGTCGACGCAGCGACGACGCCGCAGATCTCTGCATTTGTTGTTGCTTGTTTTTTTTTTTATTGGTATTTCGCTTGAATTCAATCGTTTCTCGGCGGCTTTTTCTCAATTGAATTTTCTTTCCTCTCTCGCACTCTCTTTCAAGTCTAGTTTGGGTAGTCTTTAATTAATCATTTTTCACATTTTTTTGGCTGAAAAAAAAGAAGAGAATAGGTACGAAAAGCATAAGAAACATGAAATGCTAAACGTCACTTTGTAGTTGTTGTTGTTTTAGTGTTGCCACATTTGCCTTTGTGCCAGCCATTCGCGCACACTCACACACAGAGGCGCAGCGCGCACGCACACCTGCCACAGGTAGAAAAGAGACGGGGCGAGCGGCGGGCTCAGCTAAGAGAGCGAGAGATCACAGTTAAATTGGGAGAATTGCGGCTCTCTTTCTCTACCGTCTGTTTCGTACCCTTTTTCTTTTGGCTTTTTGAGACTGGTTGCAAGAACCCGTTTTTCACATGCAATTCTCTTGTTTTTCGTTTAACGCTGCCACACACTCACACACAGGCACTCCAAAAATTCATGGCTACAATATATAATTTGTACATTTTTGTTTATTGTTTGCCAGGTTTTTCTTGTATTATTATTTTCTTGCCGCTTTTCTTTGCACATTAATGCTGTTTCTTCTTCTTCGCACTAAAAACAACATAATAAAACAGAACAAAAACCAACAAAAATGTTTGAACGCGATCGAGCAAAAGAGACGGGCAAGAGGCAAGAGCGCGCTTACTTCTTCTTCTCCTTGTATTTCTACTCCAGCTGCTTCTTTTCCCTTTTATCGGCTTATTTCCTTGAAACACGCGACCAAATTAAGGCAGCAACAAACAAACTTAAAACGGCGGCTGGACTAACTAAACGTATTTTAAAAACGGCAACAAACAATCCACGAATCGCGAGTAGAGCGACAGACCTCCGACCGTTTACCACGCGCGACGAAAGACGAAAACGAAATGCGAGCGACGTCAGTGCGCTGCTGTTTTCTGCCGTTGCTGCTTCCTCTTCTTCGTCTCCGAACAGTGGGCAGAGCCTGTTCGAAAACTAAACGATGGCGCAATCGCAAAGGTGGTCAGTCTGAAATTGTGAATAAAGAATATAAATTAGTGCTTAATGTATTAATTAATATTGAAATATTTTAAAGTGGCTATGGAATATAGGAATATAAAATATATGATAACTACACAGGAACACAAAATTAAACTTTGTGAAATTTCCACGAACCATTTCAAGTTTTCCATGATATTTGGGTGCTCCTGAGTAAAAGTCCCATACAAAATTATTTTCCATCACCTACAGGTTCCGCGGTATACCTAAGAATACAAAAAACCGATGTTTGCCGACATTTTGAATTACGTGGCCTATATAATTGGACTTACCTTTATTATTTTCGGTAGGACCTACTCTCAATACATCACGGCACTACTAAAAAATAGTCCCAATCGTGGACCATTGCCCATGTCTTTGGAATTCGACGCCAAAGTTGAAACTCCCAAAATTTTCAACATTTCTGTGATGAAAAAACAATTCTCAGAATTTAATCTTATATGGAACTAATTTTAAATATTCATTGAATCTATTGTTCATTGTATTCTTTAATTTCGGTTTAAAGCGTTTTCATGAGGACATTTTATTGGATTTATTAAACAAATAAAACCGCTTTTTTGGTTTGATTATCTACTACTATTTTCTGTCAAATTCAAATAAGTCAAGGCAACCTATAGAATGGTAGTAAATATGTATCTTTTTATATATAATATAAATTTAGATTTTTTACTCGCATTCTATAGGTTTTTTTGGTTTGATTAGCTACTACTATTTTCTGTCAAAATTCAAATAAGTCAAGGCAACCTATAGAATGCGAGTAAAAAATCTAAATTTATATTATATATAAAAAGATACATATTTACTACCATTCTATAGGTTGCCTTGACTTATTTGAATACCAAGTCCAATTATATAGGCCACGTAATTCAAAATGTCGGCAAACATCGGTTTTTTGTATTCTTAGGTATACCGCGGAACCTGTAGGTGATGGAAAATAATTTTGTATGGGACTTTTACTCAGGAGCACCCAAATATCATGGAAAACTTGAAATGGTTCGTGGAAATTTCACAAAGTTTAATTTTGTGTTCCTGTGTTATCAATATATTTTTTAAAATGTTTAACTTTTGAAATTAATACATACATAGTAAAATATTATCAAAATCAAAATACTACATATTTATTTACTACATGTACATGAACCTATATGCACTTCACTATGATTTAATACAAATATGGGAGAATCAGCACCACTGTGCAAAATCCACTCAAACTCGTGCGGACTCTCTCAGAAACTCCACTCAACGCAAAGCGCTCACAGCGGCACGAGCAGCATTCGGTTGAGTGGCGCCATCTGGTGCAACTGGCAGTTATATTTGAAAACCATGTTAGCTTTGAGTAATTTTCTAAAATTTTTTAATTTTTAAATCGTTCTTTATTAAATTTAAAGAAAAATAGTTCCAATTAAGGGTTGAGATTATATTACTAAATAAATTCACCTTTCCGCTGCTCTTGCCTGTCCTGGCATCGCAGTGGCAGTCTAGTGTCTAGGGTTTCGTTTTTAAATGGAAAATGCATGTAAGAATGTGAAAAATGAATAATTTCTGATTACACACACACACACACACACACTCGTAGCCAGCCCCACTATAAGTGTGTTAACAACACATTTTGGCTATTAAACTTGGCGCTTTCTCCGCATTAAAATTAAAAACACACACCAAATGTATGCAAAATGTAATGCAATTGTAAGTAGTGTGTGGTGTGTGCGTGTTTCGCCCGCCCCACGATTTTCCACCCCCAACCCCTTTTTTATTCACACAAGTTGTTGCCGAAGAAGAAGAAGATGCGAAATAAAATGTGCATGCATTTCAAAATGCACTTAAAAATTGTTGTCGCTGTGTGAGGAGTGTGTGTGTGTGTGTGTGTGCGAGTGTGCCACCATGTGTGTGTGTGTGTGTGTGTGTGTGAAGTCCCGCCAGAGGTCAGGTCAACTTCGTCGCCTGCCAATTAAAACTTTTTATGCGCTGCGGCGCGGCTCCACACACACAAAACGAAAAGAATAAACAGCATGCCAGAGATGAGGGCTCAAAAAAAAATATTAAGCTAAATTTAAAAAAAATATAAATACATATTTGAAGAATACAATAAACATTAAGACAGAAAAGACTATAAAGTTGTGGAGCTTTTAACAAAAAAACATTGAAAAGTCACAATAAGATGGACAAAAATGTATTAAATTTTAAATATAAAAAAGAACACATTTAACGCTTAACGTAAAAATCAATATTATTATATACTTTGATAAATATATTTTTTAAAGAAGAAAAAAGTATCATATTTTACTTCAAAAAATATAGAAAATATCAAAACCTTTTTTATATAAAATTTTAAAATATCAAAACCTTTTTTATATAAAATTTTAAAATATTTTTAACATAAAAAAACGTATAATTCTTTAATTTTTTGTGTATTTTTTTAACAAATATATAAGTCTGATATAACATTATAAATAAGTAGAGATAAAATATCAATTTATAAACCTGAAATTTATGTAATATATGAAATAAATGACAATTTAAAGGCTTTTATTATAACTAAAATTGATTATATATTAATATTATATTATAACTTACATAAACATTTAAATAATATTTCATATACTGAATTTTCAAGGCAGCTTAATTTAATTGATTAAAATTAAAATAATTCCCCGTGTCACGTGCTCATCTACGCGAAACACACACATTCGTATATGGAAAGCGCATTTTCAAGTAACTTTATTAATGCGATTTCAGTTAATTAACAACACAACAATTACGCGGCGAAAAGGGGCGCGAGAAAAGGGGCTTTGGGCCAGACTGGCAGCAAAAATAAAAATAAAGAGAAAAAGTACTAATAAAAAAATAAATAAAAATAAAGAGAATATATATATAAAAATATATAGAGGAATGAAGGGCGAAAAGAGCTCCTTTGACTTGCCTGAAATATATATATGCAAATCCGTTTGCCAATCGTTCGATTTAAACGTAACTTGGCACTCGAAAATAAAGCAAAGGAAAACCACTCGATTTTCACACTCACCACGCCCACCACACGCCCCCCCCCACGCATGTGTCCGTGTATTGTTTTGAGTTGGATATTTTTGTCATCGCGCAACAAGTTGGCTGGCCAAATCGCATTACATGTAGGTGGTACCCGGTTAAGGAGTGAGGTAAGCGGTGACAAAGGGAGGGGTCAGGGAGTGAGAGTTTTCAGTGGGTTTGAGTTTGAGTTACGCTTTCACTACTCCATACACACACACACGCAAATCGGAAATCCAACGCAAACTTTATTTTGCTAAAAAAAAAATAGAAAAGAAAAAAGAAAAAGTGTTGCCTACCTTTGCGAGCTGAAATTTCAGCCGGCCAAAAAGCTGAAAAAAAAGGTAAAAAAAAATAACAGACAAACGAGGGAGAGGGATAAATAAAAAGCTTGGAAAAATTAGTCGTTTGAATGGCTGCCAAGGAAATTGGCCAAAACAAAAAGTTGATTAAATTAAGCCAGCTAGCCAAGCTCAGTTTGCCATTAAGTTAAAATGATGATGATGGCTTGTTTTTATACATTTTCAATTGGCAAGATTCTAAGGAATTAAAGATTAAAGATTAAGACTAATCATAGCTAAGGCTTATGTATATAAATATTTAAGCTTATTTTTATTTTAAAAATTACTTTAAAAAATGTTCTGAGTCATTTTTGTTGATATTATATAACTAAATTCTTAAATAAAATACAATTTTTAAGATTATTTGTGTACTATTTTTTAAAAATAAAAATATATATAAACAAAATAAAATATAGATAAAAAAAAATATATATATAAAAAAAAAACTCTAAAAAAATATTTAAATAATAGCATCCATTTTTAGAACTATAACTTTTGTAATATTATTATTACAAATTTATTTTTAACTCACAAAAAATTTAAATAATTAAAAATCAGTAACTTATCAACAAAAAATAAAAAAGAAATATTGAAATTTTTTATTGTTAAATTGTTATATTTTAAATGGTAATTTTTTGGTTATATGAAAACTTAAAAATCCCATAACTAAGTCAAAAAAGCATAAATTTCAATTCGGTAAGCTTTTCTGTAATAATGTTTTCTAGCTTAACAAATCTGCATACTAAATTTATACTTTGAAGATATCAAAATTTTTAACAATTTTTTTAATCCATTTTATTGATGTAAAATGTAGAAAAAAATTGGAAAATATAATTTTTCTGCCGGACATGTCTAATTCGACTCGGCTGTTAATGCTGGTCAATAATATATATGATTTATAGGGTCGGAAATGGCTTCTTCACTGTTTTTTAACATTCTGACCGGCATTTTAAGACCCTAAAACAAAAATAAAAATCCCATATAAATTAAGTTAGAAACTGTCTTAAATAATTTATAAACAAATAATCTGTGAAATCAGTCCTTAATGTCATCATGAGTGAATCTTAAATTAAGAGGAAAAAATAAAGATTTTTTACTAACAAATAATTGCCATTTTCATATAGTATGCCCAACCATCTTCGCATTATTTATACGCCAACCATTTCTGTGTCATTTCCAATTTGAACTCTTCATTACAAATTCCTCGGCGAACGCACTCTCGAAAAAAACAAAAATGAAATAGGACAGAATATAGAGAGAGAACTTAATTATGGCTAATTGAGTTAAATGATTAACGGAGCGGAGCGAAGAGCATATCCCCCCACTGGCCGTCGCATTTCCATGTGACCTGTGATCCATTCAATTTCCACATGGCCAGTCGATTGGTCAGTCGGACATGGCTTAACACTCAAATTGATTTGAAATGTGCTTAAAAAATTATGCTATATACCGGAGCTGGGGCCAAAATCGAATGGCGGCGGTGGCGGAAATAGAAAA